GTGTGTGTGTGTGTGTGTGTGTGTGTATTAGTAGATATATATATATATATATGTATATATATAATATATATATATATATATATATATATATATATAAATATATGTATATATGAAAATGCCACTTGTATAAAATATATTTTATATGTAAATATAAATATACATAAAAATACCGCTTATACATTTTATATATTGAATCTAAGTATAAATATGCATGAAATTTCCGCTGATCTATATTACATAAATTAATATATATATGAAAAAACCGCCGATATATACTATATATTACATAAATATAAATATACTTAAAAATATCGCTAATACATACAATATACATTCGAATCCCGCTGATGTATACTATATGTTATATGTATAAGTATTAAATATACATTAAATTACCGCTGATACATTCTATACATTATAAATAAATATGAATATACATGTTGCCACGGTAATTGCTGAGTTGGCCAGGAATACCTTTTAGTGCATAGTGAGACTATGCTACGATACGCACGTCGAGTCTTCACTGTCCAGTTCAATAAAATCAAACCGTCGCACCCGAAGAAGTATCAAATTAGTATGGATCTTGGTATGTGACTTTAACCCCACCTACACACAGTCATATATGTTTCAATTGGTATATGACTTTAACCCCACCTACACACAGTCATATATGTTTCTATTGGTATATTACCTTACCCCACCTACACACAGTCATATATGTTTTTATTGGTATATGACTTTAACCCCACCTACAAACAGTCATATATGTTTATATTGGTATATGATTTAACCCTTCTACACACCGTCATATATGTTTCTATTGGTATATGACTTTAACCCCACCTACACACAGTCATGTATGTTTCTATTGGTATATGACTTTAACCCCACCTACAAACAGTCATATATGTTTCTATTGGTATATGACTTTAACCCCACCTACAAACAGTCATATATGTTTCTATTGGTATATGACTTTAACCCCACCTGCACGCAGTCATAAATGTTTCTATTGGTATATGACTTTAACCTCACCTTCAAACAGTCATATATGTTTCTGAGGTATCCAGGCATGCGCCACACTCAACGCTAATAGATCTGGCATTGAAGACATCACTCAAAGTGACGTTCACATTACCATGGCCAAACAAATCCAGAACATCGGACACTCCAACGACTTAAGTAGTGCGCTGTGTTGACTGCCTGCTGCTTGTGTGAGGTTTGGAAGCACAACACGTAGTCGCGTTCTGTTTTTTTAACACATACCATTATAAATGTAACCAAGAAAATAAAGTAAACATGTTTATAATTTAGACGGCCATGTTAAAACAAACTGGAATGCCCATGCTAGTGTAGAACAACTGCTTTACCCCGAGGGTACCATCGAGCTCAATAGCGGGACTATAAAAGAAAACAGCCCATGCAGGCGTAGATGGATGGACAATAAACGTAGGAGAGAGAAAATCAACCCACGCAGGCGTACATTGATAGGAAATAAACGTACTACACAAGAAAACAACCCTGTCAGTTTACTTGTGTGGGTTATATGGAGTGATCCTGCGAAAGGTCTGTCAGTTTACTTGTGTGGGGTATATGAAGTGATCCTGCGAAAGGTCTGTCAGTTTACTTATGTGGGGTATATGGAGTGATCCTGCAAATGGTCTGTCAGTTTACTTGTGTTGGGTATATGATGTGATCCTGCAAGAGGTCTGTCAGTTTACTTGTGTGGAGTATAGGAAATGATCGATAGTATAGCGTCTACCTTATCAATTAAAGTCACGTAGCACACGTGCGATTGCTTTATATCTGCAACACAAGTGTTGGCTTGGCGCCTGATCTGCTGGAGATAAAACGGTTCAGCGGACGTCATACAGCCCCAAACGAAGTTACAAATACCAACACGCCCCTGTGGTATACGGAATCTGTGGCAACAACACACCTGCCTGTCTGGAGAATCTAAGCGTACGACAATTCCGACAGCAGACATATCGGACATTGGAGCAACCAACGACTATGTCGGAAAATCAGACCAGTATGTATGGTCCGACGATGTCCCGCATACATCGTCTGTGTATTCGATGAAACATAGACGTGCACATGGACGTGTGTGATAGCACACATGCAAGATTCGTATGCATATTCATCTAGTGTGTGGGTGGCTTCCACCTCGATGTGTCTTGCTAAATACCTGTAAGTACCTACACATAGCCTTCTAGATTAAACAGAAGGCTATGACCTACCGAACATGCGTATGCGTGCTTGTTCACCCATGCCAATGGATACCTACTCAGGTTGACTACGCCAATTTATTATTGTCGGTTGGAATGCCCGCGCTTGTCATCACCCCTACGCATTTGTGTGGCTTCGATTTCCCCGTAGTGCTCGGAGCCATGAGAACAGAATACGCACCTGCCGCAAGTACGAGTCATCAGTGGACTTCTGGTACTGCTTCATATCTATTTATTAATGTATATTTTAGTCGTATATACATTGCTGCCCGGTAACAGTTTCTCCTTCTTTGATTTTTGAATAGGTGCATTCATGCGATAGTTTAGCTGGGGCGTGTCGGTCCGCCTGCTACTACCTCATACGGTAATACTTATGATACCAATCTTATATATATATATATATATATATTCAATACAGTAATATTTATGATACCAATCTTATATATATATATATATATATACATATATATATATATATATATATACATATATATATATATCAAAACGGTAATACTTCTGATACCAATCTTTCCATACGGTAATACTTCTGATACCAATCTTTCCATACGGTAATACTTCTGATACCAATCTTTCCATACGGTAATACTTCTGATACCAATCTTTCCATACCGGTATTGCTTTTGATACGAATTCTTGTCTGTGAGTGACAGTCACAGAGCCCTCGAGAGACCTTCCCTTAAGCACTTGATATAGACTTTAGCTTCTCACACGCTTGCATAAGGTGTGTTCCTTATAACACTGTAACACTTGTATATGGTGTGTTGCCATCTTGTCTGATCGTACGACTCTATGCCTTTCATTTCGCACTGTGTCTTTCTCTTTGCGTCGTCCAGCCTCTTCGCAGTACTTAGTCCCGGTGTGGCGTGGGCATTGGCCTATGAACACCCGTCTTAGCGACTGTTCATCTGTGTATACATATCCTTACACCGCCGTATATACCTACACAACCACGTGTGTAGTATCATCCCGAGGTATGTGTATATCTCCCCCCTCTCCCATACCCCAACACACTTTCATACTTCGCCAGCACATCCCCATGCACGCTCATGCAACCTCCGTGAGAGCATTAGACACGACCGAGTGATACTCCGCACCGCTAGTCAAGAACTCAGCCCCACTCACCCGCTGCTGTAAGGTGGCTTTGTCGTATGTTGTGTCGGTGAGGTCCAATGTGTCGTAATCTCCGCCGCTGCCTAGCTGTGAGTAAGCGGTGTGGCTGTGGTCTGTGTGCGCGTTTGTTTTGCCCACGAGATGCACCACGTCGTATCCGCTGTAGCTGGCGTCGCAGGGGTGTGTGTTCGTTGATAGGTCGGCGTACCCGGGTGTCTGGGCTTGTTGTTTGCCTGGGTAGTGCAAGAGTGTGGTGATAGTGAGCTCAGCGCAGTTGGTAAGGATGAGTTCGGCAGTGTAGGTATCTGAGCGTGACGCACACTTGTACAGATGTATGGTTTTTCTGTCAATGTTGTATGGTTTTTCTATCAATGATGTATGGGCTTTTTATCATCGTTGTATGGTTGTTTTATCATTGCTGTGTGGTTTTTTTTATCATTGTTTCTTGAGTGCACATCCATGGTGCGCCTGATCACTGCTTATAGTTATGTGTATGCGTTCCAACTACCCACACACTGAAGTAAAACATTGGCGATCGTATAATCCCCTGCCGACCAGACCACATGTCAGCCTCACATCATACGACATTGTAGGTCATTCAAATAACCTTATACCCCATTACATGAACTATATATACAGTTGTACTTACATATAGCAGGTAATATACAGTAACAACTACTATATATACAGTTGTACTCGCATATAGCAGGTAATGTACTGTAACAACTACTATATATACAGTTGTACTCACATATAGCAGGTAATGTACAGTAACAACGACTATATATACAGTTGTACTCACATATAGCAGGTAATGTACAGTAGTAACGACAATATATACAGTTGTACTTACATATAGCAGGTAATGTACAGTAGCAACGACTATATATACAGTTATACTCGCATATAGCAGGTAATGTACAGTAACAACGACTATATATACAGTTGTACTCACATATAGCAGGTAATGTACAGTAGCAACGACAATATATACAGTTGTACTCATATATAGCAGATAATGTACAGTAGCAACGACTATATATACAGTTGTACTCACATAAAGCAGGTAATGTACAGTAACAACGACTATATATACAGTTGTACTCACATATAGCAGGTAATGTACAGTAGCAACGACTATATATACAGTTGTACTCACATATAACAGGTAATGTACAGTAACAACGACTATATATACAGTTTTACTCACATATAGCAGGCAATGTACATTAGCAACGACTCACGACGCACTCTTGAGCGGTCGCAGTGGGGGGTTGTCGGTTGTGTCTGCGATGACCTCTTCTGCTTGCGCCACTGCCTCGGCATAGCCTATCAACGGACTGCCAGAGCCATCCAGACCAGTGCCTTTGATTCTGTGCATGTGCATGCATGTGCATGCATGTGTGCATGGATGGTTAGTTCATTGTGTGTATGTGCATGTATGTGTGCATGGATGGTTACTTTGTTGCATGTGTGTATGGGTGATAGGTTATCTTGTTGCATGTA